TCGCATCTTGCACGCGTACTCTCACAGGACAGCCTACTCAGGCCATCCTCTTTGCCTGCTACACTACAGCGGCACACTTTACAACCCTTCAGAGTAGCAGCCCAGGAATTGCACACGGCGGTCTACGGGGGGTGGGATGGTAGCCTACTGGCATCGGGGGGACTCATTGGCTACGGGTAGCAGTTCAAGGATTGCGCACTGTCTGGCTGTTGTTCACTGCTGAGAGGACACGTGAGCAATCTGCCCACGAGGGAAGAAGCTCCACGAGCCTGCTGCTACAGCAGCACATTTTGCCAGCTCTAGTCTTCCAAGCTCGCACCCTGACCTGCCGAGGCAACACTCAGCCTCGACAGAACAGTGTTCACCCGCCTATTGTATTCCCTCTTTGTTTCGCAGCATGTAGCTAAAATAAGAGGGGCTGGGGACACGCACTGAGGAATGGGGCACTCCAGGTACTGACTGCCTAACCAACGTACATGCTGCTGTACCTGGCGGGCGCCTACTCTCACTGCTACCCTCGTCGCCACATTTGTTTTCGTGCCTGCCCCGCGGCGCCCGCCAGGTACCCTTTGAGCCGAGTCGATATTACGCTAGCCTGCGCACCGTCAAGACAGGCCACATGCACTCGAATCAGTTCCGCTCAACGTCAAAGAAGCAGGAGGAGGAGCAGGAGCAAGAGCAGGAACAGGAGCAGGATGGGACGGGAGGATGGGAGGAAGAAGGGCGGGGGAGGGCGGGAGGGAGGGAGGCATGAGTGCAGGGGAGGGGCGAGAGGAAGGGAGGAAGGCGAGGGAGGGGCGGGGGTGAGACAGGAGGGCGGGGGAGTGCGGGGCAGGGGCGGGAGGGAGGAAGGAGGGCGGGCGAGAGGCGGGGGAGGGCGGGAGGGGGGAAAAGTGGAGGCATCGAACCATGTTTCGGACCATATTGCGCCGGGCAGTGCCCCTGGGGGGTGTACTCGTGGGACCGGGCAACCCCCAGGCTCGGGGTGGCACCGCCCACTGTTTCTGCAGCCCCCGCGCCCTGGCGTGCCAGGACCGTTGCTGCCCCTGGGGGGGCTGCCGCACGGCGTTCCCGAATGCGGGGAGGGAGCGGCGGGCAGGGGAGTGGGCAAGGGTGCGCGAGGGTGAGGAGGGGGGTGGGAGGGGGAGAGAGAAAAGCAGGTAAGGGCGCGAGAGGAGGAAGGTGGAAGGGGCGAGGTAGCGTATAAGGGCGCGAGAGGCGGGGGAGGGGGAGGAGGAGGAGCAGGAGGAGGGGGAGGAGGAGGAGGAGGAGGAGGAGGAGGAGGAGGAGGAGGAGGAGGAGGAGGAGGAGGAGGAGAAGGACGCGGGAGCAACAACGATGATAGATAACGCAGAGGAGCCAATGCGAGGAGGGCTTTGAAGGGCGGACGAAGATGAGGCACAGGGGGAGGAATACGTGGCACCCCATAGTCGCAGACAAGATTGAGGAGACGGGCGCGGAGGGAGTCGCGGGGGGGGGGTCGGGAGCGGGGGGGTCCAGTGCACTCTTCTACGATGTCGTGACATCCGCTAGAAGCGATCCACCCGCGACCGGATGCTGGGGCTTGCACGGGCTCGCTTCCAACAGTTGGTGCGGAGGGACCCGCGGGTTAGGGCAGTGATAAGGCGATGTTGATGCACTCGCAGAGCTAGCAGAAAACTTTGGATGTCGCGCGCCCGTGGGGCGGACAAATCGTGCCCCCCTGGTGCACTCGAAGATAAGCCGAACAACTTTCACGATTGCCCCCCGCTGCACTCACTGAGGTAGCAGTACGAGCAATTGAGTTTGCCTAATGCAGGTCGGCGTGTGCGGAGTTATGGGACTGTTTCTTCCGCGCCTTTGCCATTTTCTCCTTGTTCACCCCTAGTCGTCCTGACCTTCTCTGGCATCTCCTGTGGTAGTGTGTCTTTTCCTCGTAAGGGGGGGGGGGCAGGATTTGTCCGCCCGCACTGCTCTGTAAAGCGCTCGTGTCTTTTCTGTCAATTGACGGGATGGCCGTCTTGAAGGGCAGCGGACTGCATCGTCTCAATATTGTGTGTCGTCTGTCTTCTCTTCCGCATCGTCTTCCTTCCCTTGTCCGTTTTTCTCTTGTTCTCCAGTGTCATTATTCATGTTATTCGTCCTCGTCATCATCATCCTCCTGATCCTCCTCCTCCTCATCATCATCATCATCATCAGCATCATCATTATCATCAGCCTCCTCCTCCTCTTCCCCCTCCTCCTCACCCTCCCCATCCTCCTCCTCGAAGCCACGAAGACTCGAAGCAGCGGACAAGTTCGTGTCGATGCGCAGATGTCTCCTCCTCCTCCTCCTCTTCCTCCTCATCCTCTCCTCCTCCTTCTCCTCCATCTCCGCCTCCTCTTCCTCCTCCTCATCATCATCATCATCCTCATCCTCCTCCTCCTCCGCCTCCGCCTCCGCCTCTGCCTCCGCCTCGGCCTCCTCCTCCTCCTCCTCATCATCATCATCATCATCATCATCATCTTCCTCCTCCTCCGTCGCTGCAATGTTGATTCCAGAGCTTACGCTATGTCAGATCACCTGACCCCTGAGGCCGTCTTACAAAGCGAATAGTTTCCCTGTGTTTGGCTTAGGGGGATTACCCCAGCGTGCTGGACACAAGCACCGCCGCCCCCCTCAGAGCCCTCTTGGATCCTCAGTGGTGCCAATTGTTTGTTCCCCGAGGCTCTTGGCAAAGGGTCCCCAGAGAGCCCCAACTTTATTTTCGGGGACGCTAGCGGGGGGCCTGAGTCTAGGGATATCCGTCTGCGACGCGTTGGCGTCGGAGTTGTGAGTGTCTCGAGCTTCTCGCCTTTCGCCCTGTCCTCGAGCATTCGTGGCCCGCTCCACGGACCCAAGCAGTCCGTTCCGCGAGGCGAATTATTGGCTCTTATCTTAGCGGTCAGATATAGTAGAGGCTTCACCTTTTTTGTAACCGACAACGAGTCGGTGAGTGTTGGTTGGTTTTGCAGACGTTACCTCGATTGCAAAGGGGAGAATCAGGACCTCTGGCATGAGCTCAGCAGTTTGGCCACTCAGCGTGATCTCAGTGACATAATTGTGTTACAGGTGCCGTCGCACTTGTCCTCCACCCACAGTGGCTGGTGTTCGGGAATGCCGCTGCGGACGATCTCGCTGGGATCGCTGCTGATGAAAATCTGGTCCCTGCCTCAGACAGGGCCCGTGTAGCCACTGTTGAAAACAAAGCTTGTCTTGTTAGGAAGCACCTCCTCAGGGCGAACTTGGAAGCCATCAGTGTGGAAAAACGGGTCCCTATGGTGAAAAAGGCGCGTCTGCCCCCCCCCCCTTCTCTTGCGGCTCTGTTTGTCTTTGCGTCTAGCCTCCAGCTGTCGGACGACGGCAGGAGCTGCGTCAGGTGTCGAGGTTGCGCGGCAAAATATGCACTCACCAAGTGGAGAGCCACCCCGTGTGTCGAACTGATCTCACATCATAATTCGGATGGTCTGCGGTTGCCGAGGGGTCATAGCATACATAGTGGGGGGGTCTCACCCACGTGAGTCACAACATGTTATATAGTAAGTCTCTTAAGCTCTGGTTATGTGATGAGTGTGGGTTTTTCGGAAGTGTCCAGCTGCGGCATCTCGGGGAGCCCTGTCTTGGATCCCCCACACCCCTCAGAGTCGGTTATATCAAGCGGATTTACGATGGCAAATGGCCAAAGTATTAGCCTCGTCCAAGCCGAGGAAGTCCTCTGGCTGGTTGATAGGGTGACGTTTTCATCGCTTCGCGATAGGTCCACTCCATTACATTCCATCCCATTCCATTCCGTTATATTCCATTACATTATTCCTCCTCCCTCTCCTCCTCCTCCTCCTCCTCATCTTCCTCCTCCTCCTCCTCCCTTTCCTCCATCTCCTCCCTCTCCTCCCTCTCCTCCCTCTCCGCCTCCTCCTCCTCCTCCTCCTCCTCATCCTCATCCTCCTCATCATCCTCTTCATCCTCCTTCTCCTCTCCTCTCCTCTTCCTCCTCCTCTTCCTCCTCATCCTCGTCCTCCTCATTCTCCTCCGCCTCTTCATCCTCATTATCTGTCTCCTCCGCCTCCTCCTCCTCCTCCTTCTCCTCCTCATCCTCCTTCTCCTCATCCTCCTCCTCCTTCTCCTCCTCCCTTTCCTTCCTCTTCTCCCTCTTCTCCTCCTCCGTCTCTTCCTCTCTCGCCTCCTCCTACTCCTCCTCCTGCCTCCTCCTCCTCCGCCTCCTGCCCCTGCTCCTCGCTCCCCTCTCCTCCTCCCTCCTCCTCTCCTCCTCCTCATCCCTCCCCTCCTTCCTCCTCCTCCTCCTCCTCCTCCTCATCCTTCTTCTCCTCCTCCTCCTCCTCCCCTCCTCCTCCTCCTCATCCTCCTCTTCTTCCTCCTCCTCATCCTCCCTCTTTATCCCTCTTCTCCTCCTCCGCTCCTCCTCCTCTTCCTCCTCAGCCTCCTCACTCATGCTCCTCATCCTGCTCCTCCTCCTCACTCCTCCTTCTCCTTCTGCTGCCTCCGCCCCCCTCATTCCTCATCATCATCATCTTATTCTCCTCCTCCCTCCTCCTCCCCTCCACCCCTCCTCACGCCCCTCCTCCTCTTCCTCCTCACTCTCCTACTCATCCTATCTTGCTTCTCCTCCTCCCCTCCTTCTCCTCCTCCTCCTCCTCCCGCCTCCTCCTCCTCCTCCTCCTCCTCCTCCTCCTCCTCCTCCTCCCCTCCTCCTCCCCTCCCTCTCCTCCTCCTCCTCCTCCTCCTCCGTCTTCTCCTCCTCCTCCTCCTCTCCTCCTCTCCCTCTTCTCCTCCTCCTCCTCCTCTGCTCCTCCTCCTCCTCCTCCTCTCCTCCTCCTCCTCCTCCTCCTCCTCCTCCTCCTCCTCCTGCACGTGGCAACCCTCACGCGCATCACCCCCTCCTCCCCTTATCGTTCTCGTCGCCCTTTCTCAGTTCCTCCCTCTTCTCCTTTTGGCCTCCCACGGCGCGCCCCCACGCCCACGCGGTGCGCTCGCCCCCTACCGCCAGGCCGCCCGCGTGGCGCCCACGTGCAGGACCTACGACGCCCTCGCCAGGCCCGCGGCCAGGAGCGGCGAGTATCACGTTTTCTCTGCGCCCTCCTCCTCCCCCTCTTCTTCCTCCTCCTCCTCCTCCTCCTCCTCCTCCTCTCCTCATCCTCCTTCCTCTTTCTTCTCCTCTCCTGCTCCTCCTCCTCCTCCGCCTCCGCCTGTCCGCCTCCTCCTCCTAATCAATCACATCGTCCTCTTCTGGCTCCTCCTCCTCCTCCTCCTCCTCCTCCTCATCTTCCTCTTCCTCCTCCTCCTCCTTTTCCTCCTCCTCCTCCTCCTCCTCCTCCAGTCCTTGTCCTTAAAAATGAATTCTCCCTGTCGCACCCCCAGGCCAGTGTTTAGGGTGGTTCGGGCGTTTCGCCTGAGAAATCCTCACCACTTATGACTCTGAAGCTTTAATATTGACAACAGATTCAAAGATGGAGGGCGAGTGGTTTTCGGAAAGTGGCTCTCGCCGTATCGCCGCGCACATTCGTTTTGAGAACTTGCAAGAGCTTCACGATTGAGGGCGACCCATTTTCAAAACGTGGCGTTCGCCCTGGCGCCGCGCAAATTCATTTTGAGAATTAGCGAGAGCTTCACGGATTGAGGGCGGTTCTTTTTCAAAATGTGTTTCTCGCCTGAGCGCCGCGCACATTCGTTTTCAATACTTGCAAGAGTTTCACGGATTGAGGGTGGGTGGTGTTCAGATTGTGGTTCTCGCATCAGCGCCGCGTACACGTGCTTTACAAGTTTGCAAGAGCTTCACGGATTGAGGGCGGCTCTTGTTCAAAATGTGGTTCTCGCCTTAGCGCCGCGCACATTCGTTCATAGAATTTAAAAGGGTTCTACGGCTTCCCACGATCAGTGTACCAGAAATGGCGTTTGGAAAGATTCAGGATTATGCGGGTGCAACAGTTACGCCATTCGCGGTGTTGAAGTCCCAGGAATGGCGTTCTGGCACGGTTCAGGCTCGTCAAGACGCAGAAGTCCCGTTGATCCGTGGCGTCGGAATCCCGAGAACAATGTTTCGGCATGTTGCAGAATCTTCTAACGGTTGTTTTCCGACGAGGCAGTTCCCTCAGGGGAGATGAACCGTTGTAGGAGCCTATGAAGAGGGAGCTTGGAGGGAGGGTCTACTCAAACATCGTTGATAGCACATCGTTGAGTGGACTCTGGGCTCGTTTGGTCTTCCTCTCCTGCTTGCTCCTCTCCTCATCCTCCTCCTCCTCCTCCTCTTCCTCGCTGCCTCCATTCCTCTTCCCTCTTCCCCTTCTCCTGCTCTCCTGCCCTCCCTCCTGCTCCTCCTCCCTCCTCCCCCTCCTCATTCTCCTACTCCTGCCTCCTCCTCACCCCTCCTCCTACCCCCTCCTCCTCCTCCTCCTTCTCCTTCTCCTCCTGCCTCTTCGCTTCTCCGCCTCCTCTTCTCCTCCTGCTCCTCATCCTCTCGCTCCTCCTGCTCCCCTCATCCTCATCCTCCTCCTCCTGCCTCCTCCTCCCCCTCTCGCTCCTCCTCCTGCTCATCTCTCCGCCCCCTCCTCATCTTTTCTCCTCCTCCGATTCCTCCTCCGATTCTTTCTCTCCTCCTCCTCCAGCCTCCTCCTCTTGTCCTCCTCCACCTCCTCCTCCTCCTCCTACCTCCTCCTCCTGCTCTCCCCCCTCCTCCTCCTCCTCCATCCTCCTCACTGCTCTTCCTCCTCCTCCGTCCCTCCTCATCCCTCTACTCCTCCCCTCCCTCCTCCTCCTCCGTCTCCTCCTCCTCCTCCTCCTCCTCCTCCTCCTCCTCCTCCTCCTCCTCCTCCTCCTCCTCCTCCCCTTCACCCCGGCACACTGGCCAGGAGCGGTGAGTACCGCTTCGTAGAGATGTTGTACAACGCGAAGGCCAGCGGCCGCGAGAGGGGCGGGAGGGGAAGGTCCCCGGGAACAGCGAGGTTTGCACTGTTCTCTGGAGGCTCTTTCAACTAAGGATGTGCCGGACGCGCCTGCCAAGCCCGCCCAGTCCGCGCGGGGTTGTTGGGGGGCCGGGAGACCCAGACGCGCACGCAGGCGCATCCCTGTACACGCACGCAGGCCAGCGGCCGCGAGGGGGGCGCGAGGAGGTTTGCGCTGTTCCCTAGAGGCTCCCTCGCCTCGGGATGCTTGCCAGCAGCTGCGCCTTGTCGAGAGCGTTCTGGGCGTGCCTGGATCGTCCCGAACGGCCGCCAGAGACCCGAGATCTGACCCAAAAGCCAAGCCTCCAAGCGACATGAAAAATAGCGACAGTAAGTTTTTGACAATTTCGGGCACCGTTAAAAAGATGTCCCCTCCTCCCTGCTTCTCCTCCTCCTCTTCCTCCTCCTCCTCCTCCTCCTCCTCCTCCTCCTCCTCCTCCTCTCCTCTCCTCCTCCTCCCTCCTCCTCTCCTCCTCCTCCTCCTTCTCCTGCTCCTCCTCCTGCTCCTCCTCCTCCTCCTCCTCCTCCTCCTCCTCCTCCTCCTCCTCCTCCTCCTCCTCCTCCTCCTCCTGCCCCCCCTCCCCTGCTTCTCCTCCTCCGCACTCCTCTTCCCGCTCCTCCTCATCCTCCTCCTCCTCCTCCTCAGCTGCCGGTTCAGACGTGCACAGCGCGCGGGCAGCCCGCTCCAAGGTAGGAAACCTTCCCCATCAGGAGCGAGGATACTGTACCTCACCTCCCTCTCCTGCAGGAGGCATATTGCATGCATGAAAAGCGTTGGGAGGATTCTGGCAGTTGTTCTGACGATGAGAGCATGCACATACAATCCGTTGTCAGCATCGCAGGAGAGGCACGAAGATATATCCAGTGAGTTGGGATCGTGGGACGTGGTGCTAGTCGCTGGGACATGTCAAGTCGCACAACCCGACCACGGAGCGCAGCAGCATGCACACGCGCGACACTGGGGAGTACACTTTGGGAAAAGGAAAGGAAAGTTGGTGTCGGACGCATGCGGAGTCACGATCATGGTACACAATCGGATACTTAGTCGAGCACTGCACACTGTATATGTACCTCCAGTGCAAATACGAGGGCGGGTGGGCGGCATTCGTATTCAGACGAATGAAGTTGACTTCGTGGCCTTCTGTATCTACCTCGCCCCCATGACTGATGCGAAGCACTCACTGGTCGCAGAAAGTGTATTCAGGTGGATAGACCAGCAGCTGGATGCACTTGGGGTGAGACGTGCTATCATAATAGGAGGGGACGTGAATAGCGGACTAGGAATACATAGAGATGACGACGGTACCATGCAGAGGACAAGAAGCGCGACCCTAGGAGGAAAGAACCTATGTTGCGAGAACGAGAATGGTAGGGCATACAGAGAGTTCTGCTACAAGAACAGGCTGGCAGTGGTAACTACTGTCTACGAACATGAACCCACCTTCTATGGCCCCAAGGGGCAAGAGTCACATATTGATCACGTGGCTGTCCCCATCGGAGCCATCCCGCTTGTCTCCCAGTGCAGCTGCCTATACAGAGCAGCAAAAAGACTCCAGATGATCCCAGATAGGAGGTTCAGGAACCACATCCCGATAGGCATACACGTGGAGATGTCAATCACCAACCACGGGTACCCGACAGGTGACAATGACAAGATAGATCGGGGGTGCTTGATGAGGTGCCTGCAGAAAGGCTACAGAAGAGAAGAGTTGTTCACAAAGATAGACGAACATATAAAAAGGGTACCTATAGATATCTGGAAGCAGCTGTATTCTAAGACGTCCCCTGATTTCCTTTGGAAAAAGTACGTGGAGTGTGTGAACGCGGCGTTGCACGGCACGTTCAAGCAGGGAAAGCGCAGCAATGACAGCACATACAGCATGATGCGTACGAGAAGGATGCAGCTACTGGAGGAGAGGAGGCAGCACAGAGAAGGACTACACGAGGAGGGCACAGAGACCAGCAGGGCAAAGGTGGAGGAGGAACTGAAACGAGTGACAGCAGCACTGAAGGAGCTCAGGGAAGCACACGTAGCTGCAGAGCGAGAAGGTATCGTTCGAGAGATCTGGGAGGCATACAAAGAGAACAGATTCGCTGACATGCACAGGCTAAGGGTCGAGTATCAGCGGAACGGGCGGGGGCCAAAGAAGATATTTTACTTCAGCCACCGTTGTCACTGGCCAGGCGAGCAGTGGAGAGAGGAGCTAGGTCGTGATCCGCATGAGGGAGGGCTTGCGTGCACCCCGCTCGATTGGGAACAGACTAGGCAGGACTACGCAAATGACTGCGAGCTGGATGACGGTGACTTCCCATTCCTCCCCTCGGACGGTGATCTAAAAAACAGAGTGCAGAAAGATCTGAGGGCCATGAAAGCGCACTGCAGAACAGCAAAAAAAAACGACGTGCATATCCAGAGTGGGGTCTCCCTGTTGAAATGGTGTGGATGCTGATCGAGCCACATATTAACCTGTTTGGACCAACCGAGAAAACGAAGAGACTAGAAGCACAAAGGATTAGAGCAGCGGAGAAAGAGGATGACGAGGAGGAGCTTGAGAAGTACAGCACGCACTACATCCTAGCCAAAGGAAGAAAGATCCTGCAGAAGTTAGGTTGGAACCCAGGCGAAACAGTAGGAGCACGTCAGCGAGCAGAGGGAGCGCCAGCACAAGAAATTATCGAGGACCCACACTGGCAGTTTGGCAGAACGGAACTATCGGGAGTGGGAATGCCAGTATTTAGATAAGTAGAATATGATGCACCGAAGATGTTGCTGAGGCTTATGGAGCACTTCAGGCAATGTCAGACTATGCCGCTAGACATGCTACGATCGCACAGCTTCGCAGCAGAGGAAGCAAATAATAAGATAGGAATAGCGGGAAAGCGCACCATGCACGCGTACTGCGCAGCTGGCATGGCATGGCACAGTGGGATACATAAAAGAGCGTTGCATATTACTCGACCTCACTTCGCACACGGAGGACTTGCGCATAGGTCACGGGAAAATGCAGTGCGAGTATTGCTGGCCACGAAGTGGAGATGTGAGCAGGCAGGGAGATCGCTTATCATGAGCAACTCTGACTGCACAAACGCATTCGCATCGACCGACAGAGGGTTACTCCGACAACAAATTGATCGCACCACGGAGGAGCATGACATCCCGTATGCATATGGAGCGCTGGGGCACACTGCTTTGTCCTTACAGGCAGCCGGCGAAAGAGTTGACCTGACAAGCAACAAAGGAGCCCAGATGGGCTTCACGCTGGCTCCACGTGACTTAAACGATAGCTACAACCCAATCGTCACAGGCTGGCTAGAGGGAGAGAGAGAACAGGAAGGACAGCAGGTGAATGACACTCTGCAACCCATAGATGAGAAGTACTACGACTTGAGCATTAGCACCTTCATGGACGATATTACAAAAATAACGATGCTACCTTTCGCAGCAAGAAAAGAGGAAGTGGTAGAACAGCTGAACCTGGTAAGTGGTAGACTCGAGGAGGCCCTAACAGCAGGAAATTGGCGGCTCAACCCTGACAAGACAAACCACCTTCTAATTTTACGAGGTGAACGAAGCTACCAAAGCACGCGGGCACTGAGGAAGCAGACTAGTGGACTCAGGGGAGAGGCTTTGCGAGAGATGAGAGTGTTGGGGCCTTATATACCTTCGGACCAGGGACTAGGAAATGAAATAAGGAGGCGCTGCGACGCAGCAAGAGCAGCGTGGAGACAGTGTAGCACGTTCTGGTCGTCCAAGACCTCGAAGGTGATCAAACGCAACATCTTTATGGCATTTATTGCGGGGGCAGCATTGAGCGGGTTGTCTTGCTTTGTTATAAGTAAGAAGTACACGGACACGATAGACGTCATGCTGTGTAAGTTACTCAGATACCTGTCGAGGGGAAAGAACTGTTGGACTGACGAGCAGGGAAGGAAGAGGACAACGACGGTGGGGGAAGTGTTCAGGGAATGGAGGATCAACAGGAGCGCAGACGAGCTCAGGGTCAGAAGGCTAAGACGGTACAAGCGTTGGTCGCAGTTCCCGAACGACCATGAGGCAGTCATAGCAGCAGTATTCGGCACGTCTAAGAGTGACCAGAGCACAGGGATAACGCGCACCAACGAGCACAATAATATCACACAGCCCACACCGTGGGCCAAGCAGTATTTGGAGGACATGCGCTACCTTGCAAATAATGATGAAGAATTTCAGGAGTGGTACGATAAACGGTCGAGCGACATGAGTTTATTTACAGATGGAACCGAAGAAAAAGAGAAGTGGCTTAAGACTGACCCTTCAGTGTTGAATAGCATAGCAAGAGAGTGGAAACAAAGTAGACCACATACCGAAACCAAAGAGCCCGAGGAAGTAAACCCAACTGAACTGAATAAAAGATTTTGGTGCGACTATAAGAGCGTGAACTCGGAGGGGTCAGACGTAGTGTGTGGGTGCAGATTTCGGACAGCAGCGGCACTGGCAGCACACAGGAGAGTGCAGCACAAGATAGAGCCGCTCATACCTAAGCTTGTAATCACGAACCAGTGCCCGTGGTGCAGATCGATCTTTTCCAGTAAGAGAGTGGCAACGGATCATGCAGCAAGGGCAGCAGAGGGGACGGGCATCTGCTACATTGCTTTTTCGAAGTGGGGGCACAAGCTGATCGAGGTAAGAGAGAGCGAGCTGATCTGTAGTGTTTGCCCGTATCAAGCTAGCAGGTTCGAAGACTTTCAGACACACGTCACGTGTCACCATCCTGGGCCGCACACAGTACGATTTGGCAGAGATGAGGGTGTCCTGGGCGTCGGCGAAGAAGAAGAGGGCGGTGGAAGGAGCCAGCGGAGCGGACAGCAGCAGTGGGGACCAGCAGATGTCTGGGAAAGGAGGAGGTGGCAAGGGCAGAGGGCACAAGCAAGTGAGAGCAGACAACGTCGCCGCAGCCCCAGAACTCCAGC